TCCTCCATACATCAACGGACAACACGGAGGCAGGGGAAGGCCCAGCTACATCAACTCAGGTGACACCCAGGCTATGCTAGCCTCACTCATAAACTCATGAGCCAAAAAATTTTATGACAGACTGGCAATCTCGAGTTGGTCACCACAGCCCTCACAAGGCTGGGCCTCACGTTACTGTACAACCAGCACCAACCGAAACTCGGTTACCTGGTACAATCAATTCTTATGACACACAAGATGTTAACCCTGCACGTATGATCCCAGCACATTGGGGAAGCAAGGCATATATATGTATGATGATGTATCTGTGATGGTCAGATTCAGGGATTCCAGGTAAATCGGGAACTGACCATCTCTTGGATGGGTTGGTATTTGGAATATGTAGAGATGTTTATTTGTGCAGGTACCCATACAGAAGGGGTTCTGTCCCAAACAAATGGACGAGCACTCTCAGGCTCCAGGTACCAGCACCTCTGAACTACCAGAGACGATTGATATGAGTAGTTGCATTGCATATAGACTGTTGCATATATGTTCAAATGGTTCAGGGCACATGACAAACCATGTGGCCCAATACAACTTACAAATAACGTACTCACCATCTGTACACACCAATGCATTTTCAACACTACTGACTCATCACCCTTCCAGACTTGTAGTAGATTTACTAAAGCTCTGGAGCTTCAAAGGGCTCCCATACAGGTATCATAAAACACACCTTCAAGGAATATAGCATGCCCTCACTTACAGTCAGCACAACAAAACCATTGGCTGAAAACACACGCATAGCCAAGATTTGCAGAGTGGTCTTCCAATCTCCACCATTTACAGCATGGCACCAAACACACACATTGGTATTGTCACAAGGAATCTTCCCTTAAACAAAGACTAACCATAGACTTATTGGCACCACACACCTCCGCTACCCCAAGTCTCAACTCCCTTCTTACTATAGAACACCATTGATCTACCTTTACAGCTATCACTCAAGCATGGGTTAAAGCTTGGTTAAGTAAGACCAATATCATCAACGCAGTAAACAGCTACCATCTACCCTACACACTGGCACTTACATGGCATAAATTGGGCAATCCTTTCCCTGCTCAACTTTCGAGCTACAGATTAACCTACTATCGATATTCGCAGATACTCTGTGCTGGTTATGATAACATATCCAGAGGCATTACAGTCATACACTATCTAGAAGACTTCTTGTTGCTCAAAGAAAGCATATTTTTCACTAGAAGCCTCATGGCAGCTTAGTCTGGTTGACCACTTGGGCGTCCCAGTACCCCATAAGAAACAGAAGGCGCAGACACTATCATCACATTACTGGGCATATGACTTGAGTCGGCATCCATACACGCAAGTTACCACAAGACAAATAGGGAACATTCTCAACTAAATCAATCACTACCTCCTGCTTAGTACTTACAACTACAAGGAACTACAATCCCTACCAGGTTCCTTAATTTTGCCATGCCAATCATACCACAAGACCACGCTTTCACATCCAGAGTACTTTCCCCTTTTTTCCACACTTCCAACATGACGATCAGAGGAGGTGCCTAGACACCTCAGCAACAGCAGACCTGCACATGGGGGGGGATTTCTTAACCACTTGGCATGGTAAAAGCATGTTCCTTCCAGGATTGTCTGACACTTCTCCAACCAGATGGTCAGACGCAGCGTATACCACGGGTTTGGCAGCGATCTACCGGGAACAATTGCTTTGGGGCTGTTGGCCATGGCATCCAGGTTTGGAAATTTTTCCACCACTTCAGCCCCTTTGGGAGATCTACCCCATTGTAGCAGCTGCTGTGGCATGGGGTAAATCATGGTCAGGGTCATCAATCCGTTGTTACTCACACAACTAAGCACATATCATATCATCAACAAATGCCACTACTCATCCATAAGTTCATGATGTTTCTGGGGAACTCACTTGGTTGGCCACTTATAACATTTCACTTTCATGTACCAGATGGGGGAATACATCCCTGCCGACAACTGTCTCATTTATATTCCAGGCATGTTCATCATACGCTTCCTACAGCCGCCCATACAGTCACGTCCACTCTTTCGTTCCAGAGACAAAATCATGGATTAGACATACTCATGCAGCATAGCATGCACTATACCACCTAGCACTTTCGTCCCATACTTGTAGAACGCATAACACAGCTTTTCACCTGGCTTAAAGAATCTCATTGGAACACGACATAGCTCAACCTGTGTCACAAAATTTCTCCTAAGTTTTGCTTATTTTTGCCACCTTAAACTTAAACTATCTCATACACCATTAATTATATATTTTACAGGCATTCAACACATGATAACCTATGGCCAAAACTACCATAAACTTCATGCTATCATACCAGAAAAGAATATACGCAGAGGTTTTCAGGAATCCATTCCCCCACGTTCCTCTCAGAGATTACCAATAGCCATCCAACTGTTCATCCTTATCGGACCTATTAGATCTACAACCATTCAATTATACTACCAAGTCGGCCATTACCAGCCATGCACATTGCCTTTTATGCCTTTCTCAGGCCAGAGAATCCACTACCATCACCACCACTCAGACAGATCATTGTCTTCAACGATCCCACGTACGTAAACACATATATCATTACCTATTGGCTCTACCACATTCCGAAATGAGTCAACATGCACCAACAGTAGAGATAACATACTATCCTACCCACAACAAATGGTGCACACTTTCGGTCCTAGATTCCTACCTTCAAAATCCTTTCAGGAATTAAATACTGTAATGCATTTAAGGAAATGTCTGGTTAATTTGTATATATTTGTTGACTGTATTAAATCTTTGATTATTCATTTTTGCCCTCTTTATTTACAGGCCTACCGTATAGTCGGTATCGGCACACCACAACCGACTTGCTCCCTTTACACTATCCTAAGCTTATGCTGGATCCTTACTCCATATACGGCTATTTTGCCCCTTACACAAGTATTTAGGCAGTTTTGCCTGTATTTGTGGGAGGGGCTTAAATTAATTCACTCCCCTATATAAGGGACACCCCTTACCTGACTCATATCGCTTGAGGTCAGCATCAGAATGATTTCCACTTCCGGGTCATCCAGACGCCATTTTACCTGATTACTCCATGAGGGTTTCTAAGCTGAGATGTGTCAGGAATTCAGCCACAGGCTTTTCCGGCCTACCACCTTCTTTCTTCAATCTATCGCTGTGGATGGTGTCCAAGTGACTCTCAAACCGTAAGTCGACCTACCCGTTACGCCAGGCATCAGTCCCACGGCACCATGCACGGGTCAGGTCCTCACTTTATGGCTGCATTTTGTCTATGTCTGTTCTAAAACCATGTTCATGCATATCATTCGTTTAAACCCCCTACCGGTCTTTGGGTGTACTACAGGCTTCTTAGACATTATTGCATTTCATGTACAAACCAACGAACCACTGCATTTTCGCCTACACACTGACCCCTACCGGTCATTCGGTGTACTACAGGCTTCTCAGACATTATTGCATTTCATGTACAAACCAACGAACCACCCCATTTTTCACCTACACACTGACCCCTATTGGTCATTCGGTGTACTACAGGCTTCTTAGGCGTTGTTTGCATTTTCATGTACAAACCAATAAACCACTGCATTTACACCTACACACTGACCCCCTACTGGTCTTTCGGTGGACTACAGGCTTCTTAGACATTATCGCATTTCATGTACAAATCAACGAACCACCGCATTTGCGCCTACACACTGACCTCTACCGGTCATTCTGTGTACTACAGGCTTCTCCGACATTATTGCATTTCAGGTACAAACCAACAAACCACTTAATTTTTCACCTACACACTGACCCCTATCAGTCATTTGGTGTACTACAGGCTTCTTAGACATTATTGCTTTTCGTGTACAAAACAATAAACCACTGCATTTTTACCTACACACTTACACCTACCGGTCATTCAGTGTACTACAGGCTTCTCAGATATTATTGCATTTCATGTACAAACCAACGAACCACGGAATTTTCGCCTACATGCTGACCCCTACCGGTCAATTGGTATACTACAGTCTTCTCAGACTTTATTTCACTTCATAAGCAAACAAACTAACTACAGCATTTTCGCTTTTATACTGACTCCTATGTGTCATACGGTAGGATTAACCCCTTAGGGACACATGACATGTGTGTCATGTCATGATTCCCTTTTATTCCAGAAGTTTGGTCCTTAAGGGGTTAAAGGGTATTTTACCATACAATCAGCATTTATGACCCCTACTGGTCAACAGCAAAACTGTCTTCACATGTCATATACAATTTACCAGCCAATATAAATTACACATAAGATTGTTTTAACCCCTTAAGGACACAAAACATGTGTGACGTGTCATGATTCCTTTTTATTCCAGAAGTTTGGTCCTTACGGGGTTAAACATAACCATAAACCATAAATGAAACTCCAGCACGGGCTCAAATTCAGGTTTAATTCACAATAATTTACATTTCACATCAAGACCAACAGTGGTTCTATCAACACTGCCACCTACAGGTCTGTCAAGTACATTGACAATTTTCATGGGGTTTTACAAACACCAAACACTTACACCTATACGTCAACAGACAAACAACATTTCA